CACTGTGTGACTGAGCTAAATCCCCAGCCCCCCTTGAGCTCACTTTGTAGCCCAGGCTGGTCTCGAACTTGCAACAATCCTCCTGCCTCAGCCTCCCAAGTGCTGATTGGTAACTATTTAAATAGCAAACAAATGCGCAATTACAACTATGACAGTCTGGATTAGCAAAAAAGTATGTGATGTTAGGAAAGGAAATAGTAAGGCACCTGAACTTGTCAGGGAAATCAACCAGGATGTCTTGGAGAAAGCAGTGCTAGAGCAGAGTGGGCTCTTAGGTAGAGGAAACATATGCAAAGGTCCTATGGTCAGCATGGCCAGTGTAGCTGGAGCTCAGAGAGTGAGTGGGTGCAGGATGCCAGAGAGGTAGGAAGGACCAGACCTTGCAGGGCCCATGGGCCAGCTCAGCGTCTGATCTTTTTTTGTGTGGGGGTGTTACTTGGTATTGAAGGTACAGCTTCACACTAAGATACATCCCCAGCCCTTTTTTTTTTTTTTCCCCAGGCTGACCTCGAACTTGCAAACCTCCTCCTCAGCCTCCTAGAGTGTTGGGAAGTCCTTTGGTCTTTCTTGCAAGAGGAATGAGAAGCTGCTGAAAAGCTTCAGCTGGTGGAGGACATGGTCAGATTAACGACTGGAAAAGACGGTCGTGCTGTTGCCGTTCCCCCGACAGGTAGTGGGGGCAAAAAGGGAGAAACGTGGCAGGGGAGGGCCAGGTAGTGGCGCCCAACCTGGTGAGAGGCGACAGGCACAGGCACCGGGCGCGCTGGAAGCCGGGAGAGGGGCGAAGGAGGCGAAAAGTGGACTGGACTTGGGGAACGAAGCGGCGCCTGCGCGGAGGCGCGCACAAACACTGCCGGCATTCACGGGAGAGGGAACTCTGGAAGAGCGCCAGCTAGGGGCACGGGCACCCACGGAAAACTATTTCTGGTCCGGGTCCACCGGGCCGTGGCGGGGGCTGGGGGCAGCGCGAGGAGGGCGCCTTCGGGAGAAGGGAAGTCCTGGGGCAAGGCTGCGCGGGGAGCAGCCCGAGCCGCAGGGAGGCCCTCTCCCGCCGCCTCGCTGGTTTTCTAGCCGGAGACAGGAATGTCCGGTCTGTTCCAGGCCCCGAAGGAGTCGGGAGGCTGGAGGTGGAGGCCGCCGCCCGCCCCTCCGCAGCGCCGCCTTTTCCCAGCTCCGGCCATTCCCCGGCCGGGCAGCCCGGCCACAAAATGCCCTTGGCACCTCTTCCCTCCTTCCCTCCTGCCAGCGCTTCTGAACGGCTCTCTTTACCCGCACCCCCTCTGTCCTAGGACTGCCCAGCCGAGCTGCTTTGTGCCCTCGCAGCCTCTCTGAATATTCAAAGAACGTCCTCTCCACTCAAGCCTTGCCCAGCCTCGTGAACGTGCGTCTGGCTCCCCCTGGTGGTCGATGAGCGTATTGCCAGGATAAGAAGTGGGACCTGTAGAGACCTCTGAACCAGACACGGGGCGGCGGCTCAGGTCCCAGCCGAGCGGTCAGGACATGTGTGCAGTGCTGTCCTGTGGGATTGGCCGGTGACTCAGTCTATAACCGTGGACGATTCCCCAGACCTCTGTGAACTTCCATTTCCGCACCTGCAAATTCGGGCGCGTGATAGGGGTGAGGCTTTTCTTGAACTAACAATTAAAATCTTGTTGGTTGCAAGTCTCCTCTCCATGACCTTGAGGGGCTATGACTTCCTGGGACAGCTCGACGACATCTTCTGTGCGCCACCAGCCCCTTCCCAAACCACTCCACCTGGGGACCGCCGTGCTAGACGAGTCCAGATGTGGCCAGAACTTCGAGCACTACTTTTTTTGGGGAATCGAACTCCTGACCTCGTCTTTTTTTTTTTTTTTGGTTCTGTTTTTTTTCCAGTACTGGGAATTGAACTCATAACGTCGCACTTGCCAGTCAGGCGCTGTGCCACTGAGCTAAATCCCCAGGCCCCTGACCTTGCTCTTGCCAGGCTATGTCCTTGGCCCTCTTTGAGCACTGCTTGATCAACAGCACTGGGTCCTTGCTCTCACAGGGCCTTCACACTGAGCTACATCCCCAACCTCCACTTCCCCTTTTTGAAACTGGGTCTCACTGTGTAGTTCAGGCTGGCCTGCAACTCACTGTGATCCTCCTGTCTCAACCTTCTGGATACTAGGATTACAGGTATGTGTCACAATGCCTGGCCTCAGCCCTTTTCATCATTATTATTGTTATTATTATTATTATTATTTTCTTTTTGAGACAGGGTCTCATGATGCAGTTCAGGCTGGGCTTGAGCTCACTCTGTAGCCCAGGCTGGTCTCCAACTTGCAATGATCTTCCTGCCTCAGCCTCCCAAGTGGTGGATTACAGGCATGCACCATCATGCTGGCTTTTTTCTTGAGTTTTAATAAAATATATGTAGGCTTTATCCAGGCATAGTTGCACAAACCTATAATCCCAGCACCCTGGGAGGCTGAGACAGAAGAATTATAAGCTGCAGATGAGCCTGGGCAACTTAGTGACTTAGTGAGATCCTATCTCTATCTCAAAATAAAGTCTGAGGCAGGAGGATCACTGGGAGTTCCAGGCCAGCCTGTGGGCCCCATAGTGAGTTCAAAGCCAAACTGAACTACACAGTGAGACCCTGTCTCAAAAAGGGGGAGTGGGGGCTGGGGATGTAGCTCAGCATGAAGGCCCTGCGTTCAATCCTCCTAGTACTATAATAAACAAAAAATAGATAAATGTAGCTTCAAGTTAGCCCAGATGTACTACCTGCCTTTTAACAAACATTGTGATTGTGTTCCATGTGGCTGTTAATTGGAAGAAATTGTACGCACCTCTCGATCTCTCCCTCTCTCTCTCTCTCTCTCTCTCTCTCTCTCTGTCTCTCTCTGTCTCTCTCTCTGTCTCTCTCTTTTGGAGATTGAACCCATGGCCTTGTGCCTGCTGGGCAAATGCCCTACCTCTAAGTTAAATCCCCCCTCCTTTCATTTTGAGACAGTCATACTATGTTGTCCAGGCTGTCCTCAAAACTTGGGATCCTCCTGCCTTAGCCTCCCAAGTAGCTGGAATTATAGGCATGGGCTACCCTATCCTGCCAGCTGACCTTCTGATATACGCAGTCTCAGTTACATATGCTTATTTTGAAAGTAATTTCTTAATAGTTTGGAATCATTCAAACATGGTGCCTCCAACTGCGTGACACAACATATTCCCAAGATTCAACAGTCATTTTAGAATAAATAATGGTGACGCGGTATTGTAGAGGTGAAGGAGGAAACCTTAAAATACTTCAGTTCTAAAATTTTATGTGATGCCAGGGATATAGCTCAGTGGCAATAGTGCCTACCTGGCCAGCGCAGGGTCCTGAGTTTGATTCCCAGTAAAAAAAAAAAAAGAGTTAAAATTGCATGTGATAGTTTTTCCTGGCAGTCATACCCCATATTGAAACTACCATTTTACTTTCTGTCTCCCTAAATTTGATCACTAACTTGTATCTCATATAAATGAGATCATACATTTGTCCTCTTGTGACTGGCTTATTTCACTTAAGACAATGTCTCAGCTTTCACCCATGTTGGAGCGTCTGTCAAAATTCCTTCCTTCCTAAGGCTGTCAAGATACACATACATCACACACCTTGCTTCTCCATTCCTCTCTCAGGGGACATACGGGTGGCTGCCAGCTTCTGCGAATGCTGCCGTGAACACGGATGTGCAAATGATCTGTGTGAGTCCCTGGTTTCTGATTCATTTGGGTGCACATCCAGGACAGGGATTGCTGGATCAGATGGCCGTTCTATTTTTAATTTATTGAGGAACTCCCGTACTGTTTTCCACAGCAGCTGCACCGTTTTACATTCCCACCAGCAATGCACAAGGGTTCCAATTTCTCCACAGCCTTGAAAACCCTTTTTTAATACTGAGAACCATCCTAATGGCATGAAGAAATAGCTTATTGATTTTTATTGTGATTTGATTTGCAGTTAGTTATATTGAGAATCTTTTCATGTGTTTATAGGCCATTTGTACATCTTCCTTTTTTCTTTGTGTGACAGGGTCTCACTATGTACTGCAGACTGGCTTTGTTTTGGTTTGGGTTTTTCGAGACAAAGTCTCTCTAGGTGGTCCAGGCTGGCCTTGAATTCACTATGTAGCCCAGACTAGTCTTGAGTTCACAGGGATCCTCCTGCCTCAACCTCCTAAGTACTGGGATCACAGGAGTGTGCTACTACACCCAGTGATCATCAGGTAACATTAGCACACACCAATACTTTTTTTTTTTTTTTGTCTTTTTGAGACAGGGTCTCACTATGCAGTTCAGGCTGGATTTGAGCTCACTTTGTAGCCCAAGCTGGCCTCGAATTCACAACAATCCTCCTGCCTCAGCTTCCCAAGTGCTGGGACTACAGGCGTGTGCCACCACGCCCAGCTATACCAATATATTTTTTAAATGGAATAAGGGCAGGTGCTGAGGCCTCTTCACCTGGTGACTGTCATGCTCTTCCCTTTTCTGCTCCTCTCCAAGACCCAGGGCTTTTGTACAAGCTGCCCCCTGTACCTAGGACTCTCTCCTCTGCCTGCCCTCCTGTCACTGGCTGTTCATATCCTAACCTTGACTTCTTCCAGAAGACCCTCTTTGATGCCAGGGTTCTGAAACCACCTGAGCACAACAGACCCTTCACTGTACTCTTTGCCTAGTAAATGGTCCTCTGCTAAAATGTGAGTCACAAAAGCAGAACTGTTTCAGTCTTCCTCTGCGCTGTGCTCACCCTAAGCCAAGGTCTGGTGTGTACTAGATGCTGTCTGTGTGCAGTCTGATGGTCAGAGAGAAACGTGCTTAGCTCTGGGGGACCTAGAACAAGTGGCGGAGTTGGGGGGACTACTAGGCTGGTAGAGCTTCAGTGGCGCATTGTGAGGCAGACCAGGAAGTGGCCCTGTGCCCCGGAAGCAAGGCAGAAATCATGCACCAAATGGCTCATGTCCTGATAAGCCAGAGGCTTGTTCCTTCTCCCATAGCGTGGAAATCTACTGAAAGCCTTTGCTTTGGAGAAGCACAGTCAGAGGAAGCAGGCAGAAGATAGTTTTGAGGCCACAATCATAAGGCATCATTGGGGTGATCTCTAGCACTGCAAAAAACAAATGTATAAAATATCTGTGGAAATAAGCCCCAAGAACTGGGGAAGGCCAAGGGACAGGGTGGAAGAGATGTTTCACTGCATGCATTCCTGCACCTGAGGAATTCTGAAGCATGCGATTGTGTCACACAGTCAAGGAATCATCCCAAAGAATGATGAAAGGGGTGTATTACT